TCTTCAGTGACAACCAGATATGTTCAAAGTACATAAGTAAAAATATGGCAATTTTCCATCAGGAGCCAGGAATAGGAAAAATAAAAATGCTTCTTATGGTAATATAAAATGAAGGCTTCCTTCAGTTGCTGAACTAAGCTTCCCAACATCTTGAGATACATTTCACGAGTTAAGAGGAAGATCACTAATATATCCCTCCACCCACCCCTACCCCTCATATTTTTAATACAGGCCTAGAGGTTTGTGGGGGGGGGGTTGGAGAGGGGGGGGAGCATTTTATTTTAACCACCTCCAAATCTAGAAGATATCCCATTAGAAAAAACTCTAAAACTGATGGAAATAAAGCTAATATACTCCAAGGGTTACTCAAATTCTATTTACATGATTTTTAACATTTCTAACTTGTCAAAGGTAAAACACCTTTTTTACCCACTGTGTGGCTGGATGAAGTGAAAGTGCAAATGACTAAATATAAACAGTATGTATCTCAATCCAATATCTCAGATTATGAATGAACTTTTTTTATTCCTATGAAGGTGGCAAATGTGTGTTTGCCACGTATACTAGCTTCTTATGGGCACAGTATTTAGAAGGGCTTTCACTGATTCACTAAAATTCCCAACTTCAATCTAAATTTGTCAGAAGAGCAAGTTATCTTCACATTGCCATAAATCAAAGAGAAGTCATAGTTTCCACAATCTCATTTCCCTAATGCACTAATAAGGGCCTTCAAATATCAATTTGAGAAAATGCTTCCTTCTTTCTGGGTTCAATAAGCAAAAGAAATTTGCTTCTGACCATTCTTTTTAATTTCCCTTTCTTCCAAACTCTTTTCATAAATCAAACACAATGATTCTCATAAAAAGGTTCCATTCTAATCTCCAAAATGGCAATACCTAAGCTACAATTTTAAAGATAAGCCTTGAGATGAATGGCCTTGAATGATTCCATTTGGAAGAAATTGAAGAGGATGAAATCTATGGCATGGCAGGCAAAAAGGCCCATTGGTCTCTTAATGATGGGAGAATGAGGACTTTTTTAATATCCATTTGTGGCAATGGGTCTCAATCATTTTTTAGCCCCAAAGCACTTCTGATAAACAGAAATTTTGCTTTAATGCTATTTGAAATTTCAAAGTAAACAGCACTAAAAAGAAATGAAAAGTAATGGTCATTTTTAAAAATGTCTGTTCAAACTACCTGGGTCCCTTAGAGTATCCCTCCCCAACCCTCTGCCAGATGAAAATCTATGTGCACAGATCATAGGAATAACTCTGCCTTTCAAATAGGCCTTGTTTAGTGACTGTAGTTTCAAGTTGGTGTCCACACTATCATCACTAAAAATATTGTGCTAAATGAGTATAAAGAATCCCGAGGCACTAATGAAATCATTAGTCTAGAAATTAGGAATAAGGAATAAAACATACTTCTAAGATACAAAAAGATCAACTATTTCTTACATCTTCCTTTCTACCTACATGTTCATAGTCAAACCTCCTCCATTTCAAATCAAGCAACCAATAACACCTCCAAAACAAGCCCCAAAGGCTCCTTCCTGTCTTGTCTCCTTTCTAAGATACCATTTGTTCTTTGTCCTTCTTACAAGCATTATGCAATCTGCCTTTGGTCTCCACCAAACCATTGAGATTACTTTGGTAATAAGCAACAATAACTTTCTATATGTACAATATTTTAATCTCCCTCACCACTAATTAATTGATTTCTTCTTTTATCTTGATTATTTCCTTCTTCTCAATATAGTTATTTTTTTGTTACCTGTTTAGTATTTGAATTTAATGCTTAGTCCACTGATGAGAGATAGCTAGTTGCCTTCCAGTACTCATTTTCCCCTTCTTCTTCATTAGCAGAATGCCTAAACTATGTAGAGACACGGTATACTCAGCAAAAATATTACATTTCCTAGCCTTCCTCAGCAGGATGTGACTAAGAGACTCAGTTCTGGCCAATAAGAGACAAATGGGAGTGTTAGGAAAATCATCTTAAGAAAAAGAGTGCCCTTCTTGTACCCATCCTTGTACTGCCTGCTCAAAATGAAAGCTGTGATGCCAAGATAATGGCTAGAGCTCTAGCAAATATTTTGGACCAGGAAATAAACATCAGGATGAAAGTCTCTCAGGAGAAAGACAGGAAGATGATTCTGTGAAGCTAATGAGTAGGAAAAAACTCGCCTTCTCTCCTGTGTTTCTCCTTTACTCTCGCACTGCTATCACATTCACAACACCTCTGAACCTCGTTGTGTGGGGGCTTTTCCCACACCAAGCAATTGTGTGACACCCACGGGGTATCCTACCATTTAACTCAATTCTGGTCCTATCTGGATCAGGGTCGGATCCCGCAGGTTAAGGACTCAGTCCACAGTCTGCTCCCACCCCACTTTAGGTGACAACTGCAAGTCCAGGTTGTTACCTGTGCAGAAGCTGATCCCCATCTTGGATTCAATTAATTTGTTAGAGTGGCTCACAGAACTCAAGTAAACAGTTTATTTACTGTCCATCAGTTTATTATAAAAGGATATGATAAAGGGTACAGATTAAGATCCAGATGGTTGAAATGTGTAGGGCAAGATATATATGTGGCAAGGACTGAGGACTTCTATGCCCCTTCCCAGCACCTCCATATGTTCAGTAGCCCAGAAGCTCCCTGAATCCTGGGGAGTTTTATAGAGGCTTAACCATGCAGGCATGACTGATCATTAACTTAAATTTCCAACCACTCTCCTCTCTCTAGAGAAGTGGGGAAATGGGGACTGAAAATTTCAAGCTTCTAATCATGCCTTGGTCTTTCTGGTGACCAATCCCCATCCAACAGCCATACAGGAGCCCACCCAGAGCCATCTCATTAAATCAAAAGATGATCCTGGTACTCTCATCAATTAGGAATTTACAAGGGTCTTAGCGGCTCTGTGTTAGGAACCAGGGAGGGGGCAGACACGCAGACACACACACACACACACACACACACACACACATCTCACAGTGAGTAAGATTAAAAGACTAAGCTACCTAACCTAAGGTCATGGAAAAATTTTAATAACATGACAAAATGCTTATGTCCCAACATTAACAAAAATAAGAAGCATATAAAATTGAATCATATGTAAGAAAGCACTCATATCCTCACTACTCCCAAAAAAAGGATTAAATAGTACTTTAAAATGCCTCAAGGACCATGAATTATAGATAATTTCTTTCCTTGCTCCTTTACATTTCTCTTTACTTCTCCAAATTTTCTATAATCAACATGTAATATTTTTATAATCAGAGCTAGAGGTGGAGTCCCTCGCTCTGGCCTGTGCCCTCTCACAATCTGGGACTCCTCGGGGCATGTCAGAGGCCTGTTGCACAGATTTGGCCTGATCCCTGCAGGCTAGGTTGAGGAACCCCACCAGTGCACAGATATTTGCATATAAGATCTTGGGTTAATCTCTTCCTGCCCTCTCCCCTTTCCCCTGGGATTCATCAGTCTGCTCCATGTTTCCATGCCCATGCTTTGAGCATCTGCCCCCTGATGGTCAGTGCATATCATAGCTACCAGTCGAGCATCAGAAGGGTCGAATGGTTGGTCACTAAGCCTATTAACCTTTTATATGTATAGATATTTTTATAATAAGGTTTAATAGTAAATTTTTTTTTAATCTGAAAATTGTGGGCCACTTGGATACAGTGGTCTATTGAAATACTAGATACAGAGTGATCTCATTAATGCACAACAATGGCACATTATTACTCCAATAATGTCAGGTCAGAGCATGCTCACATTTGTAGAAAGAGGATTAATGTTCAGTTTTGATATCCAAGTATGTATAAACAAGGAATTATTTTTGTCTTTTTTATTTTCAAAAATGAGATTTCAAGAATATTGATTTTATTGCTTAAACATGAAAAAGGATTAATTACTTCAATTTCCAACTAGATTTTCAATTTGGCATAATAATAGGCCAACAGAAACACATCTGGTCACACTGCTGATAAAAGTCTACAGCCAAAGGTAGGCAGTGTTGTCTTGTACAAGATGGATTTCTCTTTTTTAAAAATAGAACTGTATGACAAATAGCTGTAGTGAACGGAAATTGAAGCTAACACATTTCTTTGCTGTTATCTAGAAGGAATTGCATTTTAACTTCACATACTCAAGTACCAATAAATTTCTGGCCTCATATTTGAAAAGAAACATTTTGACAAAAGATAAAGACCTGGAAAAATAAACATCATATTTTCTAAGAGTAAAAACAAAATATGCTACCTTCTACTTTGCGTTGCACTAGCTCATAAATATACTTAAGACAAATCAAAATTCTTTCTTTATAAAGTTCAAGAAATTCTCTTCAAATGCCTTTTCTTGCTCAGGTATACGAAAAGACTAAACAAGTAACATAACAGTATAGATATTCTAATTAAAATATCTGGAATAGCACTTAAAAAAGCTGAAATGATATCAGATTATACTAGTAATGTGTTTGACCTACCTAATATAGTTACAGCATACAAGTTTTCTTTTTGAGTGTTAAACAACAGTAAAAAAGACCTTTCATAATAGCATGGTATAGCATCTACTATACCAATAATATGAAATATTCAAAAGGCAATAACAGCCCAGCCAGTGTGGCTTAGTGGCTGAGCATTGACCTATGAACCAGGAGGTCACGGTTCTATTCCCCTTCAGGACACATGCTCAGGTTGTGAGCTTGATCCCCATTAGGGGGCGTGCAGGAGGCAGCCAGTCAATGATTCTCTCTCATCACTGATGTTTCTATCTCTCTCTCCCTCTCCCTTACTCTCTGAAATCAATAAAAATATATATTTTAAAAAACAAACAAACATATACTATATGCTGACACCTCTTCTAGGGTTGCTATGAACTGCTATTCTCTCCCCAAATTCATGAAGGACATATATATTACAAACTTAAGAACTCAAATATTTAAAGAAAAAAACCTCTCTACTTCATTTCATTTTCTTTTAAAGATGTCATAATTTTTACCTTTGCTGCCAAGGCTTTCAAACTGCCCAGGAATCTTTGCCAGAAGTCCTTGAAGAGTGGGCGGTCAATTCTCTTCAGGCTGTCCTTGCTGCTGGCATCCACACTGACGTACAGCTGGGTAACCGGTTTGAGATTCCTTGGTAATTTAAAATTAAAAACAATAAACACAACAATAAAAAAGTGTTATGCCTATATCAGGCTTTTCATGATGTAAAATTTACAATCTGTAATAGATGGGGCTATTAAACATTTCACTGGGTCTAGAGGCTTCTACTTCTCCCAGAAGATTGAAACAAGGATTTTAATCATGTGGCAGAATGGGATGTTAGTTGATTGTTTTTTAAAATGACTGGTCACCATCTCTAATAAACAGAAAACATTCAATTACTTAAAACTGGTCCCTCTTCAAACAATAGGTATTAGCGGAAAATACACAAAACAAGATCTGGCTTAGTCAAGGCTTACATAGTTGAAATCTCACAGCCATGTGGGGTCTGTGCTGATGGACCACCTTCCATCATCAATTCACTCATGGAAGTGTTCTAAGGAACAAGAAACAACGCCAAAAACCCAAGCCTTCTTAAAGGGCAAAAACCATACAATGCCTCACCTATATCTGAGGGCAGAATTGGTTTTAAAGACAAGCTTGCTTGGGCAATGACTATTCCAAGAGCTTTAAGCAATGCAGAGCTAGAACAGCAACCAAGCACTTACAAAGGACTCATTCATTTGATAATGCTATTCTTATCTACTAGATTTCTTGCCAGTATTGTTTTAAGCCCAGATTGTACTTTTTCCAAAGTCTCTATGGTCTCCCTTCAAATGGGTCTCATAATTCATTTTGTTCAATAAATTTAGACCTAGAAAGAAGAAAATCCCCCCTTAATAATTCTATGAACAAATCCTTCAACTATTAATTTTCTATAACTATTCTATAATTTGTATTTACCACTAGAATGTTACTTATACATTTTTGTTTCAAAGTTTATGATTTTTTAAAAATTGAAATATAATTCACATGCCATAAAATTCACCATCAAAATGGTTTATATGCTTTTTATGTCTATCAGTATCAGCCTTATCAATCTTTGAGTATAAGGCCCTTGAAGGACAGGAACCATATTTTTCTTTTTATCCAGCCATATAGGCAGTCACTGAAAGCTACCTTTTAGTTGACTTTAGCTGACAGGACTTTTAAGGATATGTAGGCCAAACAAATGATTGCACTGATCTGGCTTAGTGACATGGAAAAATCAGAAAGGTCTCATTGAAGGTAGGAAGTTCTAAGCAAAGTTAGAAAAGAAGTGATATTGGCAGACTCTCATTGCTTTAATCTCTCTTCAGCACTGACATTCAAAGGGAATCGAGCAAAGGATATCAATTACTAAAAATGAGAAACAATAGTATATGTAATGGCACCTCTTTAACAACAAATAGGCTATGCTACCTTAACAGTACTTTATGTTCCACAAAAAATAAAAATAAAGAGACTATTTTAATGGATACTACTGGCTATCATTATCTGATACTTATGAGACTTTGTTATAAATCTGTCTGATGCAAAATGGAATCTGGCCTGACCTCTTCACTATGCCTCCATAACTACTTAAGATTATGAACAGTATATTCCAAAGGCCATGGTTATTTTACAAACCTCCATCATTTGTAAAAAAGGAAGCCCTGGACCCTGACAGTACCAATAAGGGACTTTGTCAATACAACTGTCTGAGGTGCCATAATGAAGGAAGCCTGCAGATCTCTCGCCAGGAAGCAGAGAAAAAACAGAGAAGGAAAAATGTCCCTGGGAATTATAACTCATTCAAAAGCAGTAAAAGGACCTTGGAAAAGTTTTCTGAACTCAGGATCTAATGTTTGCCTGGTATAGGCCTCTATTCCCCAGGACAGGAATTAGGCTTCCAACATGATCATTTGTCCATTCTAATCATAGAGAGCATCATTTTAAGTCCCCAGAAGCAAAAAGATGTTTTATCCTTAAAATCATCAAAATAATTGCCTTGCCTGAGAATCTCACGTTGCTGCTGAGAACAATAAAAAGGACTATACCAATACAATCCGAATAAGCCCAATACCCAGTGAAAATGCCAATGAGTTGTGAAATGATTATTGTGATGACCCTTCATGCTGCTAATTTTAAGTCTGAGTTGAGAATGATCATATATGAAATGCATTGTTATTGAACATAAAAACCCCTCTCCCTTTTTCTCCCCTATAGAGATGTAGGCCTTCTAATTTCTACAGAAAGTAAAAAAGGCTGAGGGGTTTATGTTTGTAAGAAATCAAATGGATTAGCCGAAACTGGTTTGGCTCAATGGATAGAGCGTCGGCTTGGGGACTGAAGGACCCAGGTTCGATTCTGGTCAAGAGGATGTACCTTGTTGCAGGCATATCTCCAGTAGGGGGTGTGCAAGAGGCAGCTGATCGATGACTCTCTCATCGATGTTTCTAACTATCTCTCTCCCTTCCTCTCTGTACAAAATCAATAAAATATTTTTTAAAGTAAACTATATTGCTTTAAAAAAAAAAGAAATCAAATGGATTAAATAATAAGTATGATTGGACAAAAATAAATAAATCCCTAAGTAGCCCAAACTTTCAATTCCAGAATCCCTAAGACAACTGGGAGCTGTCACATCAGGCTAAATAATTTGGGAGGAAGAGAGAATGAGAAGATTTACTGAGCACTCATCATGTCCTGAGTGCATTGTGCTATGTTTGACCTTTCTTGTTCAGTTCACTGAATCCTCAGAATAAACAAGGTAGTTGCTACTTATGCCCATTTTAGAGATGATGAAACTAAGGTTCAAATAGATTAAGGGGCTTGTTCAAGGATTCACAAAAAAGATGTCAAAATCTTGTATTTAATTATCTCAACAACAAGATTCAAGCCAAGAAGTACTCCAGAGCCTGTTTTCCTAGCCCTGTGCCACAAGGCCTCCATCAAAATGGCCAGGTCACAGGCAGTGCAGCCGGAGCCTCTCATCACAGAAAGCCAAAAGCAGTATCTCAATCCTCACAGCAGTGTATCTCTAAGAGTGCTCAGGGCCATCTGGATCAGCAGCATTGGAGCCCTGGCCAGCGTGGCCAAATGATGAGAGTGTTGGCCTGTACACTGAAGGGTCTCAGGTTCAATTACCAGTCAAGGGTAATTACCTGAGTTGCAGATTCGCTCCTGCCCCCTCTTGGGGCATGAGTGGGAAGCAACCAGTCTATGTGTCTCCCTCACATGGATGTTTTTCTCTCTCTCTCTTTCCCTCCCTCCCTTCCAGACTCTCTGAAAAGCAACGGGGAAAAATATCCTCAGGTAAGGATTAATAAACAAATGATTTTTTTTTTAAAAAAGGAAGTACACGAAAATGCAAGTTCTTGGGCTTCCCCCAAGACTGAATCAGCCTCCAGAAATGGGGCCTTAAAAAGTTATTTTTAGTTTCAAGAATATCTCAACATTGATGAAAGAAACTGGAAACATAAATAGATGGAAAGATATCCCATGTTCTCAGATCAGAAAAATCAATATTGTTAAAATGTCCATAATACTCAAAACCATATATGGATTCAATAAAATCCCTATCAAAATTCCAATGACAAATTTTTATAGAAACAGAAAGAAAAATCTTAAAATTTATAGAACTATAAAAGATGCTGAATAGCCAAAGTAATCCTGAGAAAGAATAAAACTGGAGGTATTATCCTTCCTAATTTCAAACTATACTATAAAGCTATAGTATTCAAAACAATAGGATATTGGCATTAAAAACAAAAACAAACAAACAAAAAAACATCCACCTATGTTTATGGAACAAATCGAGAGTCTAAAAAATAAACCCACTCATATATGGTTAACTCATATTTGACAAGGGAGCCAAGAATTCTCAATGTGGAAAGGACAGTCTCTGCCATAAATGGTGCTGGGACAAATGAATATTCACATATGGAAAAAATGAAATTGGACCCCTATATTAGACCACTCAGAAAAATTAAGTCAAAATGAATGAAAAACTTAAATATAATACCTGAAACTGTAAAAGTCCTAGGAAAAAAAACACAGGGAAAAGCTTGACATTTTGATCTTGGCAACAATGTTTTGAATATGACACCAAAAGTACAAGCAACCAAAGCAAAAATAAGTAAGTGGAAATATATCAAACTAAAAAGCTTCTGCACAACAAAAGAGATGGTCAACAAAATGAAAAGGAAACCTACAGAACGGGGAAAATATTTGCAAATCAATATCCAAAATATATAAGATCTTCAAAAAATTAAAAATAGAACTACCATATGATCCAGCAATCCCCCTTTTGGGTATATATTCAAAGGAAATGAAATCAATATCTTAAAGAGATGCACCCCAAACTTCAATACAGCATGATTCACAAAAGCAAGCCATGGAAACAACCTAAGCATCTGTTCACAGGTTCAAGCAGCATATCTTCATAAGCTGGGTCACTCACCTGATTTCCACAGGGAACTGTGCATTTGTGACCAGGAAACTGGATATTTTACACTCATGCAGTAGCTTCAAAAACCTGTTGATTTCTGGGTACATGATGGGTTCTCCCACCAGGGACAAGGCACAGTGCTTCACTGTCATTCCTTCTTTAAAACGCTCTTCTTTGACACCGGGTACACCTGGAAAACACAGAGAAAATGATCGTGCTCAATAAGGCATAGACAGAGAATAACTCCTTTTATTTTTCTTTATTAAAATGTTTACATTTTCCTTAATGGTTCCTCGATTTTAGAAGGTGAAATTATCTTTTATACCAGCCAAATAATAAAAAATGAGGGCCTAAGGGAAAAGAAAACCTAGAATTACTGAAACAGGAAAATCAGTCAGCAATCTCATTCTTAGTTTAAGTACTAATTAAACTACGACAATACAAGCAGGCAAAACTAACTTTATTAGCTAGTTATTGAGAAACAGAATATATTACATTCCTTAATTTGTTCAGCTCTGCATTCTTTCATGTTTGTTTAAGTAAATGAACTAACATATCTACACTAGTTTTGTGCCCGATGCACAAAACTTATGTATTGGGGTGTGGGGTGTCCCTCAGCACAGCCTGAACCCTCTCCAATATGGGACCCCTCAGGGGATGTCTGATTGCTGGTTTAGGCCCGATCCCTAAACCCGCAGTCAGACATCCCTCTCACAATCCAGAACTGCTGGCTCCCAACCACCTGCCTGCCTGCCTGCCAGCCTGATCACCACCTAACCAATCCCCTGCCAGCCTGATCAATGCCTAACTGCTCCTCTACTGGCACGATTGCCCCCCAAGTGCCCTCCCCTGTTGGCCCGGTCACCCCTAACTGCCCTCCCATGCTGGCCTGATTGCCCCTAACTGCCCTCCCCTGATAGCCTGATTGCCCACAACTGCTCTTCCCTGCCAGCCATCTTGTGGTGTGATGACATGGGGCGGCCATCTTGTGTGAGGGAGTGATGGTCTATTTGCATATTACCTCTTTATTATATAGAATAAGGAAAAGGGGAAGTGTCTAGACCATTCACTTTCCCTTTTATTTCTCAAACTGTTACTTTGCAAATATTAATAAAATTGAAAACCTCTAGCTAGATTCACTAAGGAAAAAAAGAAAAAACTGAAATAAATAAAATCAGAAATAAAATAGGGACATTATAATAGACACCACAGAAATAAAAAGGGCCATACAAAAATACTATGGAAAGCTATATCCCAAAGTTGATAAACTAGAAGAAATGGTTCTTAGAAATATATATAATATGACTCAGCTTTAAGAAAAGATGCCAGACATATAGATCAATGGAATAGAATAGAGAATCAAAAAACAAAAACAAAAAAAAGAAAGAAAGAAAGGATGAAATGCTGACATTTGGGACAATTGGGAGATCTTGACAGTTATCATGATAAGGGAAATAGATGGAAAAGGGCAAGAACCATATGATTTCACTCATATGTGGGATATAAAACAGAAAGCAACAAATTCACTGACACAGATAACAATATGGTGGTTACCAGAAGGGAGTAGTGGGAGATTAAAGAAGGTAAAGGGGGTCAGACATGGTGATAAAGGAGACTAGATTTTGGGTAGTAAGCACACAATAGAATATACAGATGATGTATTATGGAAACTTATAAAATGTTATTAACAAATATCACCCTAATAATTTTAAAAGAACCAATTGATGAAATATTCACATTAAGCAGATTAAACAAAAACATAATTTCATTTTTTTTTTAAAACCTTTAAAATGCGGGTAAACTTTTTAAAGTAATAATTCTGGGATTTAACAAATTCCCTTTTCCTTTTTACTGAAAAGGCCTTATCACCCACAGAGGGGGAGGAGGTAATTTTTTCAAAAGTAAGGCCTTGAGAATAAAGCCTTGGTTCTCTCATTCAGAAAGCACAGTTCTATTTTGTGCTAAATGCCAGAGGCTATCACAGTGTTCCTCTCAAAAACAAGGTCCTGGGGGACTCAACTTCATGCCTTCCTTCCCTGTCCTCAAAGAAATGTGTCAGAAAAGAAGACATCCTCGAAATTTCTAATGGAAAGAAGTGCTGGAGCAGGAAGACATTCCAGGGAACAACAGACATTACATTTCATTAGCAATCGATTCCTCACTGTCTGTCTGTGTCTTTCTGTATCTCTCTCTAGCACAATATGTGCTCTTGCTTCCCTATACCATATCCCTTTCATAACTAAACTCTGCTTTGTTACTCTGATTTGTTTTTATTGTTTTTTCTGAAATATGTTTACTGGCCTTTCTCTTAATCTGAACAGCCACTTGATCCTGGACAATCACTAGTCATCAGGTCAACTATGAAGCATACCACATCCTCATTTTACTGAAAGATTCCAAAGTAGTAACTTCAGATTCCAGACATTTCATTCTAATGTTATAGCAATAAGCTGCATAACAAAGAAATAAACATGTTATATTAAGCATAGAGTGTGTCTATTTCTTATTGGAGAATGTCTTTTTTATCTAGACTAATAAAAAAGTATTATAAGATGCAAATTGACCATATCTTCACAACACCCACCAGCCAATCAGGAGTGAATATGCAAACTTACCCAACAAAGATGGTGGGTTAATTTGCAAATGCAGGCACTGACATGGCAATGATGCAACATTCTGCACTGCCCCAGCTGCTCCAGGCCTCTGAGCAGAATGGGAAGGCAAAAAGGCAGCTCCAGGCTGGAGCGAAGGCAGTGCCGACAGCCAGGGAAAAGAAGGCCCATTCTTGCATGAATCTTGTTGCATTGGACCTCTAGTTGAGTTATAATTGAAATATTAATATATGAATATTCCTATTATTAAAGATTGGACCAATTTTTTAAAAAATATTCCCTACTTTCTTTTTATACCAATATAGCTCCTGACCAAAGATCTTCCTAAGAAACTCTCCTGGCTGAACATCATATACTATATGTTTGCCATAGCAACTGCCACTGTGAGGTGTTTCATAAATAAGCTTCAGAAAACAATTAGCAGGCAGTGTTCTCTTCCCTGCCTCCACATCTCCTTTGGATGTGTACTTTAGCATACCTCCTTTGTGAAAACTTTTTGGAGATTTTTTACTTTTTGCCTTACTTCACTTCTAACTTAAACTATAGGTAAAAACATCTACCGTGTTTCCCCCGAAAATAAGACATCCTCTGAAAATAAGACATCCTCCGAAAATAAGACCTAGCGCATCTTTGGGAGCAAAAATTAATATAAGACACTGTCTTATTTTCGGGGAAACAGGGTAGCAACAAATTGTCTTTTCGTCTTTCACCTTCAGCACCGAGGCCATTCTAATAAGGGTTCATTCATGTGATGTCTGTTGAACTGATGGGAAACTGAGCTAAAGAAACCCAGCCGCAGCCCCTAACGGTTTGGCTCAGTAAATAAGAGTGTTGGCCTTCAGACCAAAGGGTCCCGGGTTCAATTCCAGTCAAGGGCATGTACCTCAGTTACAGGTGCCTTCCTCCTGCAGGAGGCAACCAATCAATGTGTTTCTCTCACATCAATGTTTTTCTCTTTCCCTCCCTCTTCTAATCTCCCTAAAAATTGATGGAAAAATATCCTCTGGTGAGGATTAAAAAAGAAACCCAGCCCCATTCTCTAATATTTGGTGGTAAGGGTGGGATAGGGCAGGCAACATTATAAAAGGATGCTGAGTTGCACTAAAATCTGACCCATTTGTAACCAATATAAAGTTAATTCTGCATATGTATAAAGGGAAAGCTAATAAAGGTCATGAAAAGAAAGATGGTTTAATGATCCCATGAAATAACTGAAAAGACTGATTGCCCTCAGAAATGAGAACAGAAGCACAAAAGGAAGCATTTAAAACATCAAAATATCTTCAAAGTCTGTTCAAGGCTGGCCACTCAGCTAATGCTGGAAACTCAGAGGCAACAATGCCCACAACAAGTATCATCCTACACAAAAATAAAATCATAAAATGACTGGACCAGACCCAGAGAAGAGAGCAGGCGTTCATCCTGGGGGTGGGAAAGCACACTATAAAAACAAAGAACTCCATGCCAGAGTAGGGGAAAGTGTTAATGAGGTAAGAGTGAACTTCTAGCCGAAACCGGTTAGGCTCAATGGATAGAGCGTCGGCTTGTGGACTGAAGGGTCCCGGGTTCAATTCCGGTCAAGGACATGTACCTTGGCATATCCCCAGTAGGGGGTGTGCAAGAGGCAGCTGATCGATGACTCTCATCGATGTTTCTAACTCTGTATCTCCCTTCCTCTCTGTACAAAATCAATAAAATATATAGATTTTTTTTAAAAAGAGTGAACCTCTAAAGAGACTGAAGTGAAGAAACCAGAATATAACAAACTAGGAAGGAAATCGTTTCAAGCCTTTGAGAATTACCTATCATTTCCAATTGATAGAAATTCTGTTCTAGGCTTTCTATTTCAACATGACATTCATTATTAAAATAAAGTTAATTGTTCAAACTCCCAAATATCAAATTAACTTGTTATATACCTGAACTATAGTACTAATAAATCTATTTCAATATCACTTAATCAAATTCAAATATCTTCTCTATAGGAAAATGTATCCAAAGTTTCAAACCAGGAAACCAGAAACACTTTTTTTTTGTTTTTTTGTTTGTTTGTTTGTTTGTTTGAGCTTTTTAAGCCACAAGGGGACACAAGGTATAGGACTGGGGCTCTAAGAAAACTCCGATATGGGTGTGGAAGAACACAAAAGGGGCCTGCAGGGCATCTGTAAGTGAGTGAGTGTGTGTCACATGAGGTGAGCCACTGCTCCAGGCCAATGTCTGCGGAGTTCAGATTTGGAGAAGACAGAGAACAGACTCTCCACCAGGAGCTGAAATGAGATCTAGACTTACACTTCTGCATCTGTAGAGTTGAAAAGTAGGATGCATGTCAGAGCTGCACCCAAAGAGGTATTGGGTTCAGAAGAGGTAGAGTGACTTGCATGAGCCTCATCATCCTCAGACTGAGCCCTGACTATCCAGAAATGAGGGTAATCTGTTCTATTTATACCCTGTCCCCTAGATATGAAAGAAATATAGAAATCGATATTTCACTGTCTGCAGGAGGAATTCAAGTTCATAAAAAAGAGGATTTCAAACTATAAACCATTGATAAAGACGGAATTAAGTTATAAAATTTCTC